TTCTTAAAGAAGTAAAAAATTACAAACTATGTCCGGAAAGTTTAATTTTTCAGTTTTCAATTCAATTTTTTAAAGAGAACTGAAAATTTTTGACAGCTTTCCAGGACTCGCTTCGCTCGCCCTTCAAATTATCAAAATAACAATCCAATAATTATAATACATAAAGATGTAAAAAATTACAAAATATGTCCTGAAAGTTTCATTTTTCAGTTTTCATTTCAAATCTTTGAGCAAAACTAAAAAAATACATCAGCTTTTCATCAAATTAACAAAACAACAATCCAATAATTATAATACTTAAATATGTGAAAAATTACAAAATATGTCCTGAAAGTTTCATTTTTCAGTTTTCATTACAACTTTTTGAGTAAAACTAAAAAATTGCATCAGCTTTTCATCAAATTAACAAAACAACAATCCAATTATTACGACACTCACAGATGTAACAAAATGTTAAAATATGTCCTGAAAGTTTCATGTTTTAGTTTTCATTTCAATTTTTTAAAGAGAACTGAAAATTTTCAATAGCTTTTCATGAATCGCTTCGTTTACCCATCAAATTAACAAAACAACAATAATTAGGATACTTAAATATGTACAAGATTTTTTTTCTTTTGGAAATATTTCATTTCAATGAAACAATAGTAAAATTTTTAAAGACAATAAGTGAAGGAAGCTGAAAACGACTGAATCTATCTCTTTTCAGGACTCGCATCGCTATTTTCAAAGGTTACCTTAGAAACGCAACAAAACGTTGATAAGGACAACGTTGATAATACAACAAAACCAAAAAATTGAATATCGCATCGGATATGTAGAATACAAATTAAAATATTTTAATCATTTTATAATTATTTCTAATTAAATTTAACATTTATGCACCCAGCAAATAATTTCTCTTTAATTTCCATTTGTTACCGAGGAAACGCATGGAAACTAGTCGTAAATTCTAACGTTGATAATGGCAACGCGAAAACAAAAACAAAAAAGAAGAAAGCGTAATAATAATAATATCGCATCAGATTGGTTAGTAACAGGTTGGAGTCGTCGGTTGGTGGCGCCGTTAATATTAATGAATGCGGCCTTAATGAGCTTTGCACTTACGTGGTGTGTAAGTCCAGATATAGTATTAAGCACACGACGACGGGGGTGGTGGTTAGAGGGTTGGCGCGAGATTTAAATAGACTGGAAAAAGAAAGAGGAAAGGGTGGAGAATGCAAGTGGCGTGCACGTGAAAGTACGTGTCGCAGGTTGTGCGAGATCGATAACATCCTGCGCATAAATTACCTAAGGATAATCATTTTCCGCGGAAATCGCGGCGCGTAATTAAAGAAAATTACGTTGATTTTCCGCAAAAGCACGCAACGCACGCGCTCCATCTATATTCGTAATTGCTTAATAGCGAGAACCGTTCGCTGATTGTAATCGTATCTTAATGCATTTTTCATTTAAATTTTAATATATAGTATGCAAAGGGGTGAAAAGGTGAAAATCTCTAATAAAGTAGTTCACCATTAAACTTAATAAACACTGATTAAATCAGCTTTAAGTTATTTAACTGTAACACGATTCATATAATATAGATAAGTGAGTCACGAGAGGATTAATTTTGATTTACTTTAAATATTAAAAAAAAAATGTCTCAAAATTTATTAATCTTCAAATTTTTTTACTTAATTTATTATAAAGACGTTATTAGTAGTGTTTATATAAAAATTATATATTTCAAAAGAAAATTTCACAAGAAAATCGTATATTGTCAACCCGGCGCATCCACCATAAACTATGACTAAACTTTGTCCATAGTTTGAATATTTTGACTATTCTCACAAATAATAGACGTTTTATTTTTCTTATATTCTATTTAGAATCGATCAAAGAAACTCGAATTTGAAAGAGATCTCAATAAAAACAATTAATAATTAGGTAATTTATACAAAAACCCGCAGATGCGTTATTCAAATTTGAAGAAAGAACACGTTTGCGCTTTTATTCCCATCAGAATTTCGATGCGGCGCATTGCGAATTCATGAATATTAATCGGAGCGGTGATTGCTGTACATTTTTCTCGCTAACGAAGTTTTCGTTACAACAAACCAAAAAAAAAAACCGCACACGAGAAAGAAGTGCAAAAACCTTCCCTTTCTACACGATGAGTCCAATTTGAATATTTATGATGGTATGTTTGTAAGAGTACAAAAATAAATTTCAAAAAGAGAAAGAAAACAAACAAAAGAAAAAACGTATATAGAATCAACAGCGTCACGATGTAATGCGAGGCATTCCAACCCCGTTCCACGCATTTGTTCTCCGCTTTTCATTTTGTTTTTTTTTTTGATATTGTATGCGTGATCGTGTGTGTGTGTGTTTTTTGTATGTTTTAGTCTCTTTTGTTTTTCGCTTTTAAATATGCAACCCTTCAACCGGATCGGAATTATACCGCACGATAATCGCGGTCGGCGAAACAAAATGATGGCAATTGTTTTTTCAAGCGTTTGTGCGTTTCGCTGGCAACCGAAGTACGTGATCTCTACGTGTATGTATAAGGCTGTATGTATGTGTGTGTGTGTGTGTATACGTATATCTCGGGACGGTTTTAATTTGTATGCAAATTTCCGCGGTTGAAACAAAGCCGCTCCTCTCCAACCACCCCCACGCCTACTGCGTTCAAAATGGGAGATACCATCCACCCGACTCATCGCTCCAAACCAGTTTACCAAACCAACCCCCCTCCTCAACCCTTCACATCACAATTTTTTTCTCTCTCTCTCATCTCTATTTATTTTCATTCCGTCGTTTAAAAGTTCAACTTTTTTTCTCTCTCTCTCTCTCTCTCTGCATGACCATCATCTGAAATTCGCGTCCCGTCCAATCAAGTCCTCTTTGCGAAGCCCTAAAACCTATATCTACAGCCTTCTATTTTTTTTTTTTCTTGCATCCCTCTCCAATTTGTTTTTTTACATTTTGTTTTCGAATTTTAACTTGCAAATGGACGTTCAAAAATCGAGTTAGCCTTTTAAGAGAGAAAAAGGATTCAATTTTTTTTCACTTTTGTATCATTAATTTTTTTTCTAATTCATTATAAAATTACGCAATAATATCACAGGACAATTATAACTTGTGCATTGATAATAAATCATATTGTGTGTTATATTTACCCAAGTTCTGGACTTCGCAGGGCAGGATCACCGTATCTCCGGTCACCACGCGAAACGTGTTCCCTCGGGATATGAACCTGGGCGATATGGCGCCACCCTCGACCACGCTTCCACCGAAAACTGATCCTGAAAATTTTAATTTAAATTTTTTAAAAATATATCGAAACAACGTCTCAGTTTTCTTAATATATTTTGAAAAACAATGATTTATTAATAAAATTTAAACTAGCAAAATAATCTTGAATATTCAACGAACAAAATGAGTATTTTTATATATCTGTATGTGCATTGGTGTTTTTGTAATTCATTTTCAAAGTTCATGAACAAAATTTTATAAGTGATTGATAGAAAATCTGCAAAAACAATAATTTTATGAAAAAATGTATGAAATAAACAATGTTCGAATATAAATAAATGTGATTATCAATCAAACGTCATTAGTAACGTCACTGTCAATATTGACAGCGTTATTATCATCCAATAAACATCAGTTTTGACGTAATAGAATGTAAATAAGCCATCTAAAAATGTCACTGTCAACTAGTAACTGACATTATTGACAGCGTTATTATCAATCAATAGACGTCATTTTTGACGTGTTTGTATGTAGAAAAACGTCATAACAATACTTTTATGGAAAAATGTATGAAATAAACGATGTTAGAATATAAGTAAACGTGATTATCAACCAATAGCCGTCATTTTTTACTATTTTTATATAAATAAGCGTCATTAGTAACGTCAATCAATAAGTAACAATATTGACAGCGTCATTATCATCCAATAAACGTCAGTTTTGACGTATTAGAATGTAAATAAGCCATCTAAAAATGTCACTGTCAACTAGTAATTGACGTTATTGATAGCGTTATTATCAACCAATAGACGTCATTTTTGACGTGTTTGTATGTAAATAAACGTCATAACGTTATGAAAAAATGAATGAAATAAACGATGTTCGAATATAAGTAAACGTGATTATCAACCAACAGCCGTCATTTTTTACTATTTTAATATAAATAAGCGTCATTAGTAACGTCACTGTCAATCAATAAGTGACAATAATTACAGCGTTTTTATCATCCAATAAACGTCAGTTTTGACGTATTAGAATGTAAATAAGCAATCTAAAAATGTCACTGTCAACTAGTAACTGGCATTATTGACAGCGTTATTATCAACCAATAGACGTCATTTTTGACGTATTAGAATGTAAATAAACGTCATAACAATACTTTTATGGAAAAATGTATGAAATAAACGATGTTCGAATATAATAAAATGTGATTATCAACCAACAGCCGCCATTTTTTACTATTTTAATATAAATAAGCATCATTAGTAACGTCACTGTCAATCAATAAGTGACAATATTGACAGCGTTATTATCATCCAATAAACGTCAGTTTTGACGTATTAGAATGTAAATCTAAAAATGTGTGTTTGTATGTAAAAAACGTCATTAGAAGACAAAAAATTTATTAACAACTAATAAACGTCAGTTTTGACGAATATAAATAAGCGTCATTAGCAACCAAAAAACGTCACTGTCAACCAATAAGTGACAACATTGACAACTTCATTTTTGAAATATACAAAATGATTTTGATTCTCAAGTAAATAAGCTGATTTTAAAACTTAAATTAAATAAGTATCAGATTAAAAGATAAATCAAAATTACAATCATATTGCGCATTTCATTTTATATATATTTTTTTGTTGTTATTGTTTCCTCGTCACAATTTTCCTGTGATTGAGTTATCTTCTGATAGAAGCGATAACGTGCGTGTTTCTATATTATCTATACCAGCGGTAAATTTCGAAACGTGAGTAGTACACGAAATGCAATTAAAGTTGTTCACATTTTTGGCGATTTGCGCGATCGCTGCGTCTTCGGAAGATGAAGAATTTTGGTCTTCGAGCGTCGAAGAGGAATCTTACTGTTTGGAATTCATGAGACGCATCACAGAGGTGAGCTTTCAGTTGCCGAAAATTCCTATAGTCAACTGCAGCAGCGGCGAACCTGTAGATGATGTTTACGAATTGGACTCTTCGGTTATATGGGATTTCAGGTAAATTGAAAGAATATATAAAATATATTAGTGGATTTACTTTTACTGTTTTATTGTTGTAGACATGATTTGTACAATGTTTATGAGAAGTACATGAGGATGTGCAGGAATAAAAAGTATTACCCGAAGCTGGAGGCTTGTGTGCAATGCATGAAGTTGCAGAGGATTCAGATGACCAAAGATGTGGACATTCTGTTCAATATTGTCGCGAAAGTTTTCGAGAATGTCGTGACTGTTAACAAGAAGATCTGCGATGACCTCACAAACCGATATCTTATCAATATTAAATAATTTATATATATTTTTTTAGATAATAAATTAATCCGTTTCTCGAATTTTCAAATTTACTCAAATTCAATTAAAAATTTGGATTAATTTACAAAAATATTACAACCAATAAATAAGTGTCGTTAGTTACCAAAAAACGTCATTAGCCACCGATAAACGTCATAATCATCTTGAATATGAACTTTGATTAATTATATAAATAAGCGTTATTAGTTACCACAAAGCGTCATTAGCAACCGATAAACGTCATAATCATCTTGAATATGAACTTTGGTTATGTATATAAATAAGCGTCATTAGTTACCACAAAGCGTCATTAACAACCTTTAAACGTCATAATCATTTTGAATATGAACTTTGATTAATTATATAAATAAGCTTCATTAGTTACCACAAAGCGTTATTAGCAACCGACAAATGTCATAATCATTTTCAATATGAACTTTGGTTAAGTATATAAATAAACATCATTAGTAACCGAAATGTGTTATTAGCAACCAAATGTCATAGCAACTATAGAAATATTGAATCGTTCACAAACCTCCAATTTCTGTAATCATGGAATTTTATTGTTCGAAACAATTGAAAAAAAAAACTTAGCCTGAAAATCGTTGAAACAAAATCGTTTATATTCCATAAATGATGATAAATTGTAGTAAAAGAAGAATAATTTACATATACAATTAGGATTCGTAATAATCGTATGTATTACAGTAATTTACTTAATGGTTTTTAAATGTATTATCGAATTACTGAATTATTAACTGAGCGAAATGTAGGTCCACGCGAAAGGTAAATAATGGAGAACGATAATTTCCCAATCAATATTTTACATGCGGACAAATTGATCCGTCATTAGAATAATATATACGTACAGGCTTTAATACTCTGACATTATCAATTTATACAATAGTTTGTGTTTACGTGATGGAATTTAATAAGATGTACATTACAGATTGATAAAATGACAGTTGACAAATGACAGTTGACAAATGACAGATGTAAATGACATGTCAATGTTAACCTATAATAATTTTTGATTTGCTTATATTTAGTTACGCGTAATTAGTGAATTTATAAAATGACAGATGAAAGCAACAATTGTAATTTGTTTAATTGTAAAATTGTTCTGAACAGATTGGATGGAATTATGCGTAATTAGTGGAAGGAGAAAATGACAGATGCGATTGACACGTCAACGTAACGCTTCGCTAACCGTCGTTTCACATCCCCCAAGCCTCCTCGGATTTCAGTCGCACGCACCGGATTTTGCTTCAATTTTTTTTTATTTATATTTGCTCGCCCATTGGAAAGTCAGGATTAACCGGATTGCCCCCCTTTTTAGGGTTTAAGGTGTAAAGGTCCGGCCGCAATTTCCATCGCAAGAAAGGGCAGTTGAGTAAACAGAACAAGGGCGTCGAGAAATAATGCACACGCATATTATTTATCGCCGTGCACATGGACCATGGCTTGCTCTAAATAACATGGAATAGGGTGATTCCGATTCATATGCAAATCAGGTTAAAGTAGCCGCAGAACGAGGCGAAACTGGATCAGGGATGAATGAGAAGAGAGAGAAAAAAAAATGTATGGATGAATGGATTTCGGTGCGGCACTCGCCCTCCCTTCTGTGTGTCCTCCACTAAACAAACACTCGTAATCGAGAGATCCGAGAGGGGTGGTGATTTTTAAGCGCGCGGTGCCCCACGTTCAACCCCTTTTTTTATGATATATATTTTTTTAATTTATTTATTTTTTTTGTTGGTAACGGTGAATCGTTTAAACCTAGGCTTTAACGAATATCTACCTCACTTCATGTCAATATGGGTGTGTGGGTGGTGGCGGCGGTGATTGTTCCCACCTCCCCCCAGTGCACACACGCACGTATATAGGTATGCCTATATAGTCATGATTATTGATGGTAATGTCCGCAATTATGGCCGCTTTTCCTGCTAATCAATCTTTCCCGCCGCTTGCCCATTTCGCATTTCGGGCGCACAATGCAAACATTCCGCATTCAAACATCCACATCCACACACGCAAATAACGCAAAACGCAAACACAACCCCAAAATTCTCTCTCTGTCTGTCTCTCTCATATTTTTATTAAATTATTGTTGAAACGCTTCATTTCCTCACGTCAAATGTAAATTTCCAAAACGCAAAACGTACAATCGCACAAATGAGTTGACACTCTTGATAATCGCATTAATTTTAATGACATTTCGGTTCTAGAACAATGAAAAAATCGACAAACGCAAAATAAAAGTGAAGTTGGATTGGTTGACATTTGTTGATAATCGAAATAATTGCAGTAAAACGTCAGTTTTCGAAGACAAAACAATTGAAAAACAAGTAAAGTTGAATTGGTTGATAAACTCAATCATTATAATGCAAATTTAGAAATTTCGAATATAAAAAAATAGACAAAAGAATAAAGTTGAATCATTTGACATTTGTTGATAATTGAAATAATTGCAGTAAAACGTCAGTTTTTGAATACCAAACAATTGAAAAACAAAACAAGTAAAGTTGAATCGATTGATAATCCCAATAATTATAATGCAAATTTAAGTTTGCGAACATAAGAAAATAGACAAACGAAAAAAAAAATAAACTTGAATCATTTGACATTTGTTGATAATCGAAATAATTGCAGTAAAACTTCAATTTTTGAATACAAAACAATTGAAAAAAACAAAACAAGTATAGTTGAATCGGTTGATAATCCCAATAATTATTATGCAAATTTATAAATTTCGAACATAAACAAAAATAGACAAACGAAAACAAAAGAATAAACTTGAATCATTTGACATTTGTTGCTAATCGAAATAATTGCAATCAAACTTCAATTTTTGAATACAAAACAATTGAAAAAAACAAAACAAGTAAAGTTGAATCGGTTGATAATCCCAATAATTATAATACAAATATAGGTTTTCGAATATAACAAAATAGACAAACGAAAACAAAAGAATAAAGTTGAATCATTTGACATTTGTTGATAATCGAAATAATTGCATTAAAACTTCAGTTTTTGAATACAAAACAATTGAAAAAAATAAAAAAAGTAAAGTTGAATCGGTTGATAATCCCAATAATTATAATGCAAATTTAAGTTTGCGAACATTAAAAAATAGACAAACGAAAACAAAACAATAAAGTTGAATCATTTGACATTTGTTGATAATCGAAATAATTGCAGTAAAACTTCAGTTTTCGAATACGAAACAATTGAAACAACAAAAACAAAACAAGTAAAGTTCAATTGGTTGATAATCCTAACAATTACTATGAAATTTCGGTTTTCAATTTTCAAACATAAAAAAAAGACAAATTTAATTGGTAACGTTGATTTACTTGATATTTGTTGATAATCTCAATAATTAGAGTGAAATTTCGGTTCTCAAACTTGAAAGAAAACATCGATCGAAAAAAGAGCAAATTTGAATCTACCTTTTTAATTTACGTTTATAATCGAGACGTTTTCAAGTCTCGTTGTTTAAATAAATCCATTACTAATTACGAAAATAGAGTAAAAATTGGATATATCGAAAAATCAAAACGAAATCATGTGATTTGCATTGCATTAACGTTCACAAACGTTGAAAACAAAAAAGATGTTATTGGCACGTTTCGTAATGCGAAATTCCCCGTTTAGTGTAAAAATTGTTTATTGATTCACTCCCAATATATATATAATATAATATAAACTGACGTCACTTCCAGCCATTCAGTCAATTTCCTGCAGTCGAGATATTTCGCATTTCAGAAAAGGGAAGATCAAAGGGAAGACAATCATCTCGTTTAAATGGATTTACAAAACAAAATAGTTTTTTTTTTTCGTTGAAAAAGAAAAATCAACACTTGCTAAATGAAAAATAAATAGAATAATTGCCAATAAAATAAAAAC